TGTGTACATTAGTGTGATTTTTATTCCGTTAAATATCGTTAAATAATTTTCAGTTTACCTCTTGTGAACGACTTCAGTATTTAAGGGTTGATGCATCTTAGTGAAGGGATAGTACCAGTATGTTTCGTTTGTGTGCTGGCAAATTTGTTGATGTATACCTGGAGAGGGTTCCGGGGATCAACGCCCCCGCGGCCAGGTCCATGAACAGGCCTCCTGGTGGTTCAGAGCCTGATCATCCAGACTGTTACTGTAGGCCGCACGTAAACCGACGTACGAACCACAGCCCTGCTGGTCAGGTACTGACTTTAGGTGCCTGTCTAGCGCCTTCTTGAAGACAGCCAGGTGTCTATTGGTAATTTCCCTTATGTATGCTGGGAGGCAGTTAAACAGTCTTGGGCCCCTGACACTTAATGTGTTGTCTCTTTGTGTACACGTGACGCCCCTGCTTTTCATTGGGAAGATGTTGAATCTCCTGCCGAGTCTTTTGCTTTCGTAGGGAGTGATTTTCGCGTGCAAATTTGGTACTAATCCCTCTAGGATTTTCCAAGTGTATATTATCATGTATATTTCTCGCCTGCATTCCAGGGAATACGGATCAAGGTATTTCAACCGTTCCCAGCAATTTAAGTTCCTCAGTGCTGTATTTCACGCTCTGTTTGTCTGCTCATCTCTCCTCTAGACTCCACAGTTTTCCTGCTACTTGGTGCGAAGGGCCTGCTTAGTTCTTCATGAATGATGTTCACTATGTTCTTCATGGATGCTGTTCACTATGTTCTTCATGGATGATATTCACTATGTTCTTCATGGATGATGTTCACTATGTTCTTCATGGATGATGTTCACTATGTTCTTCATGGATGATGTTCACCATGTTCTTCATGGATGATGTTCACTATGATCTTCATGATGTTCACTATGTTCTTCATGGATGATGTTCTCTATGTTCTTCATGGATGATGTTCACTATGTTTTTCATGGATGATGTTCACTATGTTCTTCATGGATGATGTTCACTATGTTCTTCATGGATGATGTTCACTATGCTCTTCATGATGTTCACTATGTTCTTCATGGATGATGTTCACTATGTTCTTCATGATGTTCACTATGTTCTTCATGGATGATGTTCTCTATGTTCTTCATGGATGATGTTCTCTATGTTCTTCATGGATGATGTTCACTATGTTCTTCATGATGTTCACTATGTTCTTCATGGATGATGTTCACTATGTTCTTCATGGATGATGTTCACTATGTTCTTCATGATGTTCACTATGTTCTTCATGGATGATGTTCTCTATGTTCTTCATGGATGATGCTCTCTATGTTCTTCATGATGTTCACTATGTTCTTCATGTGATGTTCACTATGATTTTTCATGGATGATGTTGTCAAACTATGTTCTTCATGGATGATGTTCACTATGATCTTCATGGATGATGTTCACTACGTTCTTCATGATGTTCACTATGTTCTTCATGGATGATGTTCACTATGTTCTTCATGGATGATGTTCACTATGTTCTTCATGATGTTCACTATGTTCTTCATGGATGATGTTCACTATGATCTTCATGGATGATGTTCTCTATGTTCTTCATGATGTTCACTATGTTCTTCATGGATGATGTTCACTATGTTCTTCATGGATGATGTTCACTATGTTCTTCATGATGTTCACTATGTTCTTCATGGATGATGTTCACTATGTTCTTCATGGATGATGTTCACTATGTTCTTCATGAATGTTCACTATGTTCTTCATGATGTTTCTCTATGGTTCTTCATGGATGATGTTCACTATGTTCTTCATGGATGATGTTCACTAAGTTCTTCATGATGTTTCACTATGTTTTTCATGGATGATGTTCACTATGTTCTTCATGGATGATTGTTTCACTAAGTTCCTTTCATGGATGATGTTCACTATGTTCTTCATGATGTTCACTATGTTCTTCATGATGTTCACTATGGTCTTCATGGATGATGTTCACTATGTTCTTCATGGATGATGTTCACTATGTTCTTCATGATGTTCACTATGTTCTTCATGATGTTCACTATGGTCTTCATGGATGATGTTCTCTATGTTCTTCATGATGTATGTTTCATTATGTTCTCATGCGATAGTTCTCTATGTTCTTCATGGATGATGTTCTCTATGTTCTTCATGGATGATGTTCACTATGTTCTTCATGATGTTCACTATGTTCTTCATGGATGATGTTCTCTATGTTCTTCATGGATGATGTTCTCTATGTTCTTCATGGATGATGTTCACTATGTTCTTCATGGATGATGTTCACTATGTTCTTCATGGATGATGTTCACTATGTTCTTCATGATGATGTTCTCTATGTTCTTCATGGATGATGTTCTCTATGTTCTTCATGGATGATGTTCACTATGTTCTTCATGGTATATGTTCTTTTGTATGTTCTTATGGATGAATGTTTCAGTATGTTCATTTCATGATGTTCACTATGTTCTTCATGGATGATGTTCTCTATGTTCTTCATGGATGATGTTCACTATGTTCTTCATGATGTTCACTATGTTCTTCATGGATGATGTTCTCTATGTTCATGATGTTCACTATGTTCCTCATGGATGATGTTCTCTATGTTCTTCATGATGTTCATTATGTTCTTCATGGATGATGTTCTCTATGTTCTTCATGGATGATGTTCACTATGTTCTTCATGGATGATGTTCACTATGTTCTTCATGGATGATGTTCACTATGTTCTTTATGATGTTCACTATGTTCTTCATGGATGATGTTCTCTATGTTCTTCATGATATTCACTATGTTCTTCATGGATGATGTTCACTATGTTCTTCATGGATGATGTTCACTATGTTCTTCATGATGTTCACTATGTTCTTCATGGATGATGCTCACTGTGTTCTTCATGATGTTCACTATGTTCTTCATGGATGATGTTCACTATGTTCTTCATGATATTCACTATGTTCTTCATGGGTGATTCACTATGTTCTTCATGGATGATGTTCATCTATGTTCTTCATGGATGATGTTCACTATGTTCTTCATGGATGATGTTCACTATGTTCTTCATGGATGATGTTCACTATGTTCTTCATGGATGATGTTCACTATGTTCTTCATGATGTGTTCACTATGTTCTTCTATGATGTTCACTATGTTCTTCATGGATGATGTTCCTATGTTCTTCATGGATGATGTTCACTATGTTCTTCTGATATGTTCACTATGTTCTTCATGGATGAATGTTCTCTATGTTATTCATGGATGATGTTCACTTATGTTCTTCATGGGAAAGTTCACTATGTTCTTCATGGATGATGTTCACTATGTTCTTCATGGATGATGTTCACTATGTTCTTCATGGATGATGTTCACTATGTTCTTCATGGGTAATGTTCACTATGTTCTTCATGGATGATGTTCACTATGTTCTTCATGATGTTCACTATGTTCTTCATGATGTTCACTATGTTCTTCATGGATGATGTTCACTATGTTCTTCATGGATGATGTTCACTATGTTCTTCATGATGTTCACTATGTTCTTCATGGATGATGTTCACTATGTTCTTCATGATGTTCACTATGTTCTTCATGGATGATGTTCACTATGTTCTTCATGATGTTCACTATGTTCTTCATGATGTTCACTATGTTCTTCATGGATGATGTTCACTATGTTCTTCATGATGTTCACTATGTTCTTCATGATGTTCACTATGTTCTTCATGGATGATGTTCACTATGTTCTTCATGATGTTCACTATGTTCTTCATGGATGATGTTCACTATGTTCTTCATGATGTTCACTATGTTCTTTATGGATGATGTTCACTATGTTCTTCATGGATGATGTTCACTATGTTCTTCATGATGTTCACTATGTTCTTAATGGATGATGTTCACTATGTTCTTCATGATGTTCACTATGTTCTTCATGGATGATGTTCACTATGTTCTTCATGGATGATGTTCACTATGTTCTTCATGGACGATGTTCACTATGCTTTTCATGATGTTCACTATGTTCTTCATGGATGATGTTCACTATGCTCTTCATGGATGATGTTCACTATGTTCTTCATGATGTTCACTATGTTCTTCATGGATGATGTTCACTATGTTCTTCATGATGTTCACTATGTTCTTCATGGATGATGTTCACTATGTTCTTCATGATGTTCACTATGTTCTTCATGGATGATGTTCACTATGTTCTTCAGGGATGATGTTCACTATGTTCTTCATGATGATGTTCACTATGTTATTCATGAAGTTCACTATGTTCTTCATGGTGATGTTCACTATGTTCTTCATGATGTTCACTATGGAGTTTAATGAAATTTACTATGTTACCGGATGATGTTCACATATGTTGCATGATGTTCACTATGTTCTTCATGAGCTCTGAATTTCTTCATCAGATGTACTATGATTCATCATGATGTTCACTCTCTATGGGTTAATTGATACTGTTACGCAGTGTGAATTTGAACTGATGTGTACGGTAGTTGAGATACAATGAAAAGAAGTAGTGAATTGCCCTAAAATAGTGTTGAATTCCATCAACGCAGTGTTGAATTCCATCAACGCAGTGTTGAATTCCATCAACGCAGTGTTGAATTCCATCAACGCAGTGTTGAATTCCATCAACGCAGTGTTGATTCCACAACGCAGTGTTGATCATCACGCGTGTTGAATTCCATCAACGCAGTGTTAATTCCATCAACCAGTGTTGAATTCCATCAACGCAGTGTTGAATTCCATCAACCATCGTAAAGTGTGTTTGGAATTCCGCGTACAGCAGTGTTGAATTCACCAACGCAGTCCTGGCCATATGTACCTCTGTAATCTTTTGACTACCGCCCACAGGATGGGTATGGGGTGCATAATAAACATATTAAACTAACTAACTGTTGAATTCCATCAAAGCAGTGTTGAATTCCATCAACGTATCTGTAAATGTATTTGTTTTGTTTTTTTTCAGAGGAAAGAGTTCGCGCGGTACAGCAAGGTGTTTCCACTCTCCCAGACTCTGGAGTTTAAAATCCCATCCAAGTGGTACAGACGTACCGTGGGCGGCCTCGAGGTGCTCTGTGGCTTCTGTCTAACCTTCATTCCCTCCAGTAAGTACTACTACTACTACTACTACTAATAATAATAATAATAATAATAATAGCAATAATAATAATATAATAATAATAATAATAATAATAATAATAATAATAATAATAATAATAATTTTATTTCTAAGAAGTACTTTACAATTCCATTCTCTTCAATAAATCTCTTCATTCCTCTAGTAATAATGACACAGGTGACTAAGTGCAGACCCATGCTTGGTTATTGCTCAAAGAATTCCCGTGCCTTGAAACAGAAAAACAAAACCACTTTCCCTATTATCTGGCGGTCAAACCAGTCAACATGGATGATAGAAGAATTATTTATTGACTGGTTCAAACATAATTTTATTTCTGGAGTCGTATTATCTGCGCTACAAGAACCTCGCATTCAGACTTCTCCTGATGTGTGTCTAATTTCTCATTATGTGTCCTCGTATTTCCTGATGCATTTCCTCAAGCATCCAAGTTTCTCCCACATGAGATTTGTGGTGTTTTCCTTGGTAACTAAATTCCTTGATTGTCTTAGATGAAACTTTGGCCCACAAGCAATGACCTGTTGCATTGTTAGACCATAACGCGAGGACAGAGGGAGGTGTTACCATAACATTCTCTTAACATCATATATATATATATATATATATATATATATATATATATATATATATATATATATATATATATATATATATATATATATATATATATATATATATATATATATATATATATATATATATATAATATATATATATATAATATATATATATAATATAATATATATATATATATATATATAATATAATATATATATATATATATATATATATATATATATATATATATATATATATATATATATATATATATATATATATATATAATATATATATATATATATATATATATATATATATATATATATATATATATATATATATATAATATATATATATATATATATAATATATATATATATAATATATACATGTACACGTTTATTTATACACACTCATCTGAGTTTTCTTTGATTTTATCTTAGTTCTTGTTCTTATTACTTTTCTTTTTATATCCAAGGGGAAATGGAATAAGAATCTTTCATCAATAAGTCATGCGTGTTGTAAAAGTCAACTAAAATGCCGGGAACAATGGGCTAGTAACCCCTTTTCTTGTAATAATTACTAAAAAGAATAAGAAGAAAATTGTCAAAGTGGAAAGTCTGAATGTGCGTGGATGTTGTGCGAATGATAAGAAAGAGATGATTGTGGATGTTATGAATGAGAAGAAGCTGGATGTCCTGGCTTTAAGTAAAACAAAGCTGAAGGGTGTGATAAAAGAGAAAAAGGTAGCTTATGAGAGGTATTTACGAAGCAGAAGTGTTATAAGAAGAGAAGAGTATATGGACAGTAAAAGACAGGTGAAGAGAGTGGTGAGAGAGTGCAAAAGGAGAGCGGATGATACAGTGGGAGAGGCACTGTCAAGAAATTTTAATGAAAATAAGAAAAAAATTTGGAGTTAAGCAAGTTAAGAAAGCCTGGGGAACGAATGTATATGTCAGTTAAAAACAGAGTAGGGGAGTTAGTAGATGGGGAGATGGAGGTATTGGGTAGATGGAAAGAATATTTTGAGGAAATTTTAAATGTCGACGAAGAAAGGGAGGCGGTGATTTCATGCACTGGTCAGGGAGTTATACCATCTTTTAGGAGTGAAGAAGAGCAGGATGTGAGTGTGGGGGAGGTGCGTGAGGCATCACGTAGAATGAAAGGGGGTAAAGCAGCTGGAACTGACGGGATCATGAGAGAAATGTTAAGAGCAAGGGAGAACATAGTGTTAGAGTGGTTGGTATTTTTGTTTAATAAATGTATGAGAGAGGGGAAGGTACCTAGGGATTGGCGGAGAGCGTGTATAGTCCCTTTATATAAAGGAAGGGGGACAAAGGAGATTGTAAAAATTATAGAGGAATAAGTTTACTGAGTATACTACGAAAAGTGTACGGTAGGGTAATTATTGAAAGAATTAGAGGTAAGACAGAATGTAGGATTGCGGATGAGCAAGGAGGTTTTAGAGTGGGTAGGGGACGTGTAGATCAAGTGTTTATATTGAAGCATATATGTGAACAGTATTTAGATAACGGTAGGAAAGTTTTTATTGCATTTATGGATTCAGAAAAGGCATATGATAAAGTGGATAGGGGAGCAATGTGGCAGATGTTGCAAATATATGGAATAGGTGGTAAGTTACTAAATGCTGTAAAGAGTTTTTATGAGGATAGTGAGGCTCAGGTTTGGGTGTGTAGAAGAGAGGGAGACTACTTCCCGGTAAAAGTAGGTCTTAGACAGGGATGTATAATGTCACCATGATTGTTTAATATATTTATAGATGGGGTTGTAAAAGAAGTAAATGCTAGGGTGTTCGGGAGAGGGGTGGGATTAAATTGTGGGGAATTAAATACAAAATGGGAAGTGACACAGTTACTTTTTGCTGATGATACTGTGCTTATGGGAGATTCTAAAGAAAAATTGCAAAGATTAGTGGACGAATTTGGGAGTGTGTGTAAAGGTAGAAAGTTGAAAGTGAACATAGAAAAGAGTAAAGTGATGAGGGTATCAAATGATTTAGATAAAGAAAAATTGAATATCAAATTGGGGAGGAGGAGTATGGAAGAAGTGAATGTTTTCAGATATTTGGGAGTTGACGTGTCAGCAGATGGATTTATGAAGGATGAGGTTAATCATAGAATTGATGAAGGAAAAAAAGTGAGTGATGCATTGAGGAATATGTGGAGGCAAAAAATGTTATTTATGGAGGCAAAGAAAGGAATGTATGAAAGTATTGTAGTGCCAACACTCTTACATGGGTGTGAAGCTTGGGTTGTAAATGCTGCAGCGAGGAGGAGGTTGGAGGCAGTGGAGATGTCCTGTCTAAGGGCAATGTGTGGTGAAAATATTATGCAGAAAATTCGGAATGTGGAAATTAGAAGGTGTGGAGTTAAAAAAAGTACTAGTCAGAGGGCTGAAGAGGGTTTGTTGAGGTGGTTTGGTCATTTAGAAAGAATGGATCAAAGTAGAATGACATGGAGAGCGTATAAATCTGTAGGGAAAGGAAGGCGGAGTAGGGGTCGTCCTCGAAAAGGTTGGAGGGAGGGGGTAAAGGAGGTGTTGTAGGCGAGGGGTTTGGACTTCCAGCAAGCGTGTGTGAGCGTGTTAGATAGGAGTGAATGGAGACGAATGGTATTTGGGACCTGACGAGCTGTTGGAGTGTGAGCAGGGTAATATTTAGTGAAGGGATTCAGGGAAACCGGTTATTTTATATAACCGGACTTGAGTCCTGGAAATGGGAAGTACAATGCCTGCACTCTAAAGGAGGGGTTTGGGATATTGGCAGCTTGGAGGGATATATTGTGTATTTTTATACGTATATATTTCTGAACTGTTGTGTTCTGAGCACCTCTGCGAAAACAGTGATTATGTGTGAGTGAGGTGAAAGTGCTGAATGATGATGAAAGTATTTTCTTTTTGGGGATTTTCTTTCTTTTTAGGTCACCCTACCTAGGTGGAAAACGGCCGACTTGTTGAATATATATATATATATATATATTATATATATATATATATATTTTATATATATATATATATATATATATATATATATATATATATATATATATATATATACATATTTACATATATATACATCACTTTGAACTGAAAAAATAATCGTATCAGTGTTGGACTGGTTTACACAGTGTATTTATGTATCATTCTGTTAACTTTCAACTTAATGAGTGACTCAAATGCATGCGTTAGTAATATCTTGTGTCGTGCCGAATAGGTAAAACTCATCAATTAGGAAGAACTCATTTAAAATTAAGTCCTTTCTAAAATTTTCTCTTAAACGTTCACAGATATATATTTTTTCATTTAAGTTAATGAAAAAATTAATAATTTTGTACCAAAAGAAGCTTAGAAAACTTACCTAACCTTATTATAAAAAGCACAATTTAATTTAACCCAATCCAACTAAATATATTTTAGATAAGTTTACAATAATTCAGTAATAAACAAACACAATGAAATACATTTTATTCGTTAGGTTCAGAATGATTTTTGCTATTTAAGCCAAAATCGCGTTTTACCTATTCGGCACGACACACACACACACACACAACATGGTCACACTTGTCAAAGGCTTTTGCAAAGACTGTGTATACTACAGCTGTGTTTCGTTTGCCTTCTAGAGCATCCTGGATCTTGTCATAGTGGTCCAGTAGTTGGGACAGGCAGTAGCGACCTGCTCTAAACCCATGTTGCTCTGGGTTGTGTAAGTGATGGGTATCTAAATGGGTGGTGATCTTGCTTCTTAGAACCCTTTCAAAGACTTTATGATAAGGGATGTTAGCACTATTGGTAAAGTTCGTGGACCAGGGAAAGAGTAGAACTAGTAGCGACAATCGAAGAGGCGGGGCCAGGAGCTGTGAATCGACCCCTGCTACCACATATAGGTGAGTACAAACACACACACACACACACACACACACACACACGGACAGACATACACACACATGAATGCACATACAACAGGCCTAGTGTCTAATCGACATGTGCCTAGGACAAAATGGTAACAAAATGGTAACTAACACACACACAGTTGAGGGACACTGTGCGCGAGTCACGCCTTCCGTGCTCGGCGAATATAAGTGTTCCCGAGGGCTACCCAAGTGTACTGCAAGGGTCGCTAAGTGTGTCAGGGTAGTGAACAATCCTTGAAGCAATTTACAATTTGCCTGAGCCACATAAGTGTGGGGAGAGCCACAATTTTATAAGTGAACTAGAAAGTGATACTTGGTGGCGCATTCAGAGTCATGGTAAGTGACGAGGTGTCAGAGTGGGCGCCTGTGACAAGCGGGGTTCCACAGGGGTCAGTCCTAGGACCTGTGCTGTTTTTGGTATATGTGAATGACGACATAACAGAATGGATAGACTCAGAAGTGTCCTTGTTTGCAGATG